TGGGTACTTAGCCATTAAATCCTGATATTCTTTATTATTGTCCTAATTATGTAACTCATTGCAAAAATACATCTTTTTCACATGTTGATTCAAATAAGGTAATCTGCCAACTGTATTAAGTTCAACTAGAACTACTAAATAAATTCAGATACCGGCTAATCTGCTACAAATTCTCCAAAATCGACTTGTAATCGTCATACAAAGCTATATAATGTCTTCAAAATTACATAAATAGTATGAAAGATTACATTTTCATCTATTCTACATTTAATCCAATTAGATTACATTTTCATCTATTCTACATTTAAATACATTTAATCCAATCAGATTACATTTTCATTTATTCTACATTTAAATCCAACTTGGCCGCCAAAATAATTAAAAAACTAATGTTTGCAATCAAACTTCGCTTGACAATCTCCAAGGCATGGTCATGCATTCCACTTGCAAATAAAGGAGAATTATTGGAGAAAAACTTAGCATGGCAGTCTTTGTGATATCTCCCATCAGCTGCATGTGAATCACTTACTGCTCCATTTACTCGAATAATAACATCTCGTGCCCATTTGTCATCAAGCCCTAAAACTTTCACAAGAATGGATTGTTTGAAGGTTTTTTTCCTTACCTATCAGCAGTGCAGAATTTTTCTCCACAGAATTAGCAATTCACAAGGAAGTTGAAAGAATCATTCCCTTTCAAACGTTTTTTAGCTGACTCTAAAAGCAGAGTTTGCTCGTGCTCATGTTGGTGCTTAGCCACAAATTTTTGAGTATGTTCTTTTGAACAATATGTTTTGATACAGTTAGTATGGGTTATAAAACTGTCGGTATCGTTTCCCAATTTCAAACCCAATCCATTTCCCCGCAATGTGCTAGCATTCTGCAGACCAGCTACTCTTTTAGAGATAATCAAGTTGTTGTCCTCAGCGCAGCAAATGAGGCATGCCATTGTCACCTAAATAGTGCATATACGATGTTAATATCTGATTTTACGCAATATATTACAAGGGTAAATTATAATTTTTATTATAATAAATTTTTAATAAATTATAAGTTATAGTATATAAAAAATAATAACATTAAGAAATTAAAATAAACCTAACATTATAATAAACTACATACTTCATGTTGCCATAAAGAATTAATATTTAAGATTGTTTTCTTTATTTGAAACGAAATTCACATTATGTTAAGACTAATAAATGCATCCTTAATATTAGGCATTATTATTGTTATTATTATTATTTGAAACGAAATTCACATTATGTTAAGACAAATAAATGCATCCTTAATATTAGGCATTATTATTGTTATTATTATTATTATTATTATTATTATTATTATTATTATTATTATTCAATATTCATGAATAAGATGATGGACATAAAATGATAAAATATATATATATATATATATATATATATATATATATATATATATATATATATATATATATATATATATATATATATATATATATATATATATATTTATTTATATGTATTTATGTATATTTTAACGCTTTAAAAAAAATGTCAAGAAGTAGTTCAAAGAAATCAGAGAATCAGTAAATTTTATTAAACTATATAAGCAAATGCTATGCAACTAACTTATTGGAAATTTTGATTTCACTTTTTTCTTTGCCTCTTTTTAAATGTTTTTAAGTTATTATCGGAAACCGAATCCTTTGATAGTTTTTGTTTGTTATTAAAAAATACATTAACAAGAATTTTTGTGGAAAACATGATTCCCCAACTTTCATGATTTTCACAAACAAATTTACTTTTTGGTGCGCATTTATGTAACAGATATGTTGATGATTTAATGACTGGAATTGATAGAGACAAAATTTCATTCTCAATCAAATCCAAAATACCAAATGCACTGCAAACAAATTCTGCAAGCTGTTTGGATGGAACAAATAGTCCACCACGTGACAAAAGAGATAGAGAAGAATTATTTTCAAGATAAATGTCTCCAATTTTTAAACATGCTTTGCAATTTTCACATTCAGACCTTTTTGACAGTTTTTTTGCAACATAGCCTGCTATAGTTATTGCCGCTTCTTGACTATTATAATCAAGGGAACTTTCCATAATTTCTTCTATTCGAATTTCAAACAGTTCATCGAGTATTATCAAGGAAGGATGAATATCTGGTATTATATTTTCTTCCCAGAAGATTATTTGCTCCTTAATTAAAGAACGACATGACAAAGTTCTTTCTGAATTTAAAACTTCTCTTAAACTTATTAGAAATCTTCCCCGCTCATTTGCCTGTATTGTGAGAAACGTCTCTCAATTGGATCACTTTGTAAACGAGCTGTCATCACGTAATCATATCCATCATTCAGGAGCTCCTCAACAAGCAGTGCTTGAACACGTAAGGTATTTACAAATGTTGATGCAGTTTGAGTTGTGAGGGTGAATGCAGGTGAAAGAGACCACTGATTGATCAATCAGCCAGAGCTTGGTTAAAAATTATTTTATTGTCTCCTAATACAAAAGCATTGCCAATAATGTTTGGTGAAAACCTTTGTTTAGAATTAGCAATAGTCCACCAAGTGTTATAAATAGTTAAAAAACTTAAAACATCTTTTCGATTTGGATTATAGCTTTTTGAAGCTGCAATTGTAGTTTCATGTATAATTGCTAACGCAAGTGGCACATTTTGTTTATTATTTCCAGGATGTAATGCCTCATATGTAAGCTTTGGAGCTTTCCTAGGTTTACCTTTCAGATCATTATGGAAAATCTTAAATAAATCATCCCAACTAATATATCCTGATGGACAATCAATATTGATATATGCATTATGGTATTTAGTCTGGAAAAACAATTTTTTTACCATTTAATAAATTATTTCAAAGATTTTTGACTAAATGCACACTATCATAAAACAAATATGTCTTCTTTCCATGATTCTATGGGTGAATAATATAATACTTTAATTCAGACTTGAACATTGTAACTAATAATGAGAATGCATTTATGTTAATGGAATGATTGTCTGTAACTATACCACGCGCGGTGAAACCAGCACCATCTAAGTATATAATAGATTTTTAAGGTTGTCAGCTATTTTTTGTGATAGCCAGTTTCCAGAGAATGTGACTTCTGGAATTGCTAGAACAGTAAAAGGAATAAATTATTTTAGTCCTTTTATCATGAATGCGACAATTCCTTTGTACAAGCTACCTTCTAAGAAGTTATAAGAAGTTATAAGAAGTTATAAAAAGTTTCTCATATAAGAAGGATAATTTTCTAGCATACTAATTTTATTAGGTTTTGCATTATGTCCTTTAACAAACTAACTTGGTAATGGAAGCGGTGTTCCTTTGTATTGCAAACGTACATTTAGGTCTACATCAACTGTTATTGATTCTAATATAGTAGAAGAATATGTCTGTTCATTAAATACTGTTATAAAATACAACACCTTTTTCAAATCATTTAAATTGAAACCCTGGTAGTGCTACTGCTTCATTCAAATTATGTACATTTGTAATTGTATCATTTTTCTTAAATATTTCTAACTGATCTTTTTGGAATATTCTCAATTTAGGAGGACTTCGAGAAGTTTTTAAAACTGGCAAAGATGATTTTTTTGCGAAAGTTCACAAGAATACTCAAAAGAAACAGGTTTTAAAAGCCAATTCAGTGTGCATTTATCACATCTAAGTATATATTTATCTTCAAAATGAAGTTCACAAAGAACAGAATGTTTTGTTGGAGTCCAATCTGAACGATTAACAAATTGTATCTAAAGTTGATTTAAGTTTTGGTCTGTTGGAAAATGAAAAGATGCAATTTGTTTGTGTTGTTGCTTAAGTATCCCAATGTAAATTGTGGTGCAGCACATTTGTTGACCATTTGTATTATAAATTCTTTAAAAATTAGTAAATTCAGAAAGAAGAATATTTTTAAAAATAATATTTTAGCGTATTTTGTATCTAAAATTTTCAAGTATTTAGTACGAGATTATTACTCCCGCGTTTTTTTTACTCCCCAGTAAAAATCTCATATTAAATTTTTACTCCCCAGTAAAAACCGCTTATTAAATTTTTATTCCCCAGTAAAAATCTTATATTAAATTTTTACTCCCATTATGAGAAATTTACTCCCATAAATATATTATGCGGCAAAACGTATTTTTGTAACAAAATCACGTTGTAATTTGAGAATAGTTTTCAACGTTTTAATTACTGCATTTTCTTGAAAAGCGATAAGAAGCAAATCTTTTCATATTTCTAAAAATTTAACTATGCATACTGAATTTGCTGACGTTTATAATTTTTTAAAAAGAAGAATATATCCAAAGACAGCTATTAGTAAAGGTGATAAGTCGAACTTTCGAAGAAAAAAAACCCATTTGTAATTGAAGATAATGAGCTGCTTCATCTGGGTAAATCTGGCGTTAAGGTAAAAAGTTTATATAATTAGAGTTTTTTATACTAGCGTGGTTTGCGATAAATACATTTTTATGTATACGTTTATGTATCACGTTTTACATAATAACGTATTACATAATAATATCATATTTTAATAATGTATCATGTAATAGTAATACATAATATATAATAATACCATGTTTTATATAATTACATAATAAAAAGCTTGTACTTTACTAGTATACTGCTGTGATAAGAAAAAATACAGTAACTGTAAAAATATCCACTTTGCACTCTTTTAATAAATATATATTTTTATAATAGCATTTTTAATTTTTTTTAGAGAAAAGTTATTTGGTGCAAAGAAGAGCAACACCATATAATTAAGTCTGTTTATGATGGTAATGATATTTCTAATGAGGCTAACGCATTATCTGGCTACATAGGCATCAATTCTACAACAGAGCATATTAAAAAGAGATTTTTTTAGTTTGGTATGGTAAAAGACATTACAGCCAATTGTTTCAGAATGTGATAATTGTCAAAAAGCAAAAAACAAGAAACTTTAAGTTAAACCATTGTTACAAAGCATATTGATTCCAAAAGGTAACATGAAACAGATTGGGATTGATTTGACTCAACTCCCAGAAGTAAATGGGTATAAATATCTGATAGTATTAGTTGATTATTTCAGCAAATGGGTAGAAGCTGAATCTCTGTTTGATAAAACAGCAAAATCTATGGCAATATTCCTGTATAAACAAATATATAGACACGGATGTTTTGAAATACAGATTAACGGTCAAGGCCGTGAATTTGTAAATAAGCTTTCAAATGAACTTCACAGGAAAACTGGGACTCGTCAACGCATTTTAGTAAAACGTCAAAATCAATCAATAAAACGAACATTGGTAAAGATGCTAGAAGATGCTGCTCTTGAATGGCCATTTATTATTGACGGTGTTTTGTTTTCAATGTGAATTAGAAAACACAAATCAACTAGATTTTTACCCTTTGAATTACATTATCAAAGAGAACCTGTTCTGCCGATTGATATAGATCAGAGCCTAATTGACTATATTGAACCTAATTGACTATATAAAACCTAATTGATAATGCTACTCTGATTGAATACGATTCTTATAACAAAAAAGCAATTTTGGAAACATGCAATAAAATGAATGAAATGAAGAAGTATATTTTTGATGAAGCTTACGAAAACATCCAAAAGTCACAAATAAGGCAAAAACGCGACTATGACAAAAGAATTAACCTAAAGAATAGTATTGTTATAGGAACAAAGGTTTTATTGCGAAATCATAAACGAAATCATATAACAAAAAAGGTGGAAAGCTTGTGAAGCCATGGATAGGACCATACACGGTAACTAATATTTCAAGTGCAAATAACTGTAGTTTAAAGAATGAAAAAATGTAATATTGAAAAAAAAGTACAATCTAACAAGTTTGTCCTTGTACAAACAAAAATCACCAAGTAATGGCAGCATTCAACTAGAAGAAATTAACAAATTATCAAATGATGATGATGTCAAAACTGAACCAGTTATCAAAGACGTTGAATCAAGCAAGTCATATATAAATACTCAACATGAAAGCTGTGTAAATGTTTTAGACAAAAGAATAGCAAAATGTGCAACTTTTGATATGAAAAAATTAATTGTAGAAAAGTTTGAAATTGTTTGGAAACACAATGTCCCCGTAGGAAACATAAGCATAACTCTTTGTCCTCGGGGACTCTATAGAATTAAAGGAGATGGAAACTGCTTTTTTAGAGCAGTTTCTTTTATCATAACAGGAAGTGAAAATGAGTATAAGCAAATTAGAGACAAGGTTGTTAACCATATTTGTAACCAAATACATGATGAAATGACTGGATATTCGAATATACCAATTCAAACGTATATTTGTAAAACTAGAATGTTTGAAGATGCAACATAGGCAACTGATGCGGAGATAATTGGATGTGCTTCATTTATGGAAGTAGATAATCAAGTATACAGCAAGTATGGAGCGAAAACAAAATGGATGATCTACCCATGCAGTTTACGGCTTAATAAGTTAAGTAACTATTTTATATTTTTAGACAGTTCAACTCCATTCCACTTTGATGTTGCGATTAACAATTGAAAATCTAGTCCATATACGTATGTATTTCTTTTACAAGTTTTAAATATTGCTGTTTAATTTCAATTATTGTATTTTCTTTTCTTGTACTATGTAAGTTTATATATTAAACGCAGCAATTTGTTGGAAATCGGTATTATAGTTAGGCTGTCTAAATAAAAAAACAATTTTAATAAATTTAGGTGGTGCAAATTTAAAATTGTGTTATATTACATAATGTCTTACAAATCGTTATCTTTTTTTAAAATTTTTTGCAAAGCCTCCTCGTTTAGCATAGGTACAAACATACATAAGTTTGGAGTTTGCACAATGCGTGAAAGTGTCCTATCTGGAACATCAAAAAATCCTGCGGGCCCCCTTGCATGTGTGTGAATTTAGGAAAACTAAACCCTCTACTCCTTATACCAAACATCTTTTTATGTTGGCAACTAGGATCTTTAGTCAGAATTTTAATTTTTCTATTGATTAGCTGGTTAATTGTGATAAATTAAAAAATCGATGTACGTATTTTTAAATTGAACTTCTCCCCCCCCTTCCCCCCATACGCTTTCGTACGCTTTTTGAAGACCTCCCCCCTCCCCCTATTCTCTCCCCCCTATGAGCGTACGTACTTTATAGACAACCCCTAAGCGTAATTAATATGGCAATAAATAAATGAGTGATATAATTGAATTAAAGTATATTTATTTAAAAAAGGTCTTGATTTGTATAGCATTCCTATATTTCTAGTAATTTTATTGTTTAGGTTATTAACTTGATTTTTCCATGTGAGGTTTTTATTAATGTAAACAACCAAGAAATTAGTAACTTTAGCTCTCTTTATTTCAGTGTTATCAATATACAAGAAGGGTATATTCGAACGTAAATTTTTTTTTGAAGTTGGGTTAAAGAGAATCCATTTAGTTTAATCATTTTGTAGCCCAATTTAAATTCTGTAAATGTTGTTTTAAAAATATTTAGAGAAGAGTTTAATGAAGAGAGAGTGTCAATTGCTAAATTAGTGACAATAGGGATATTTTTTAGCTAAGTTACTCATACGAAATACTTATTTATTTTGCTTTTTATTTTAATAGAATCATTTAAGAGCTCCCCATTTATTTCAATAAGTTAGGACAGAGAGCACATTTTTATTTTATGATTACTGATGATTTTATTTATACATTTCCATGTTTTTTTTAAATCATTTTTGTGTTTTACAAATAGATTAGTGTAGTAATTTTTTTTTGAGGTTTTTCGTTGTTTTTCAAATTGTTTTGCATTAGTTTAATAGTGTTTTACTTTCAATTGTTTTAAATATAAAGTATTTAATATACAGTTTTTGTTTTATTTTTAAGGATTTTCTTAAATCTTTTGTAATCTATGGTGATTTTATATTTTTATTTGTTTGACAAATCTTGCATTTTGGAAAATATACATCGTAAATTTCATAAAATATTTTAAAAAACAGGGCCGACGACACGGGTCTCGAAGTTGGGGGCACAATTGTCAATTCTTAAAAAAAGTCTTCTATATCTAGAATTTTCTTATTTTCTGTACTCCAGCCCCCCCCCCCCTCAGTATCGTTGGCCCTGAAAATTGAGTTGTACCTATTGTATGGTTAGTAGTACTAATAAGACTCCAATTTATCAAAGATAATTGCTCTTTAAATAAGAGAAGGTTTTTATCGTTAATGAGTCGTTTTATAATTACTTGTTTTTGTAGAGGTAATAATTCAGTAGTTCTATTAATAGAGAAAAAAAATAGGAAAATGATCAGATGAATCACTTTTGATAACTCCTTTTTTAAGAAATTTATTTGAAGTATCGGTTGTAAAAATATTGCTTATCAGTGAAGCTGAACTTTTTTGTTACCCTCGTAGGTTTATTTATTAAAAGAATTGCTCCATTTTCAAACAAATCGTAATAAAAATTTTTAATGTTGTAATTTATGTAAGTGTCATAAAAATTTAAGTATATTTAATTATTGATTCTATTTCTATTTTATTTACTAAATCATAATATACGGGGTGCTAAAATGGTAAATTTGGGCAAATTTAAATATTGAAAGCCAAAGTTAACGGGGTCAAAGAAACAGAATTCACGCATTTCTCTATAAATATAAGGATTCCGGTAAACAAAAATTAAATATACGAGTTTAAATATTTATGTGAATACTTTGTAGTATAACGATATTTATAACGCTAATATAATATATAGTTTATAATATTTACTATGCTTATCCTTGAATATAAGATAAGATATATTCAATATAAAATACGTTTTAAGACTAGTAAAATAAGTTATAAAAAGAAATGGAATAGTTTTCTTTAACATTAAAAACTACAGAATATTTTACAATAACACAGATTACAGAACGATAATCAAATGATCCATACACCTTGTACAGAAAGTTTAAACGCACTTGTTTTTAAAAAGTTTAGGTATGTTTAAAGTGATACAAAAAGAAAACACGAGGCAGGGTCCAGGTTTTTTTTTTTTAATATTCTTAGCCAATTAGTAATTAAGAAAAAAACACAACTTTGAATAAGAAAAACATAAAATCTCTTCTGAAATTAAACAACAAATTCAAGTAATCAAAAGATTACTTAGAAGAAAGTGCAATAAAGTTTAAACGCACCTACAACTTCTTTTAATCGAAATATATTAATACGAAATATGACCCCTGTTGTTTTTAATACATGCTTGTATTCGCCTTGGCATTGATTCGATTTAGTTTTCAATCATCTTGATTGGTATTTCAAGCCACAGTTTGGTCAGTTCTTGTTTGAGCATTTCATGACTAGATATTTGCTTTTTTGTAGTTGATAATCCATCCAGCGCCATAAATTTTCAATCAGGTTTAAGTCTGGTGATCGTGCTGGACAAGGCATAAGTTGAATATTACTTTTAAGGAAATAATCAGTGATTGAATGCGCTGTATGGCATGGAGCATTGTCTTGTTGAAATAACCAGTTTTGATCAACCTGGAACAAATCGCTTAGCATGCATAGCAAGTAAAGCATTTTTTCATCGCGTGCTGTCAGTTTTTTCGGACGCCCAGTACGAGGATTATCATTGACACTACCAGTTGATAAATAATTATTTTTTATTGTTGTACGAACGCTGCATTCAGAAATATTTAGGCGTCTGCCATTTTCTCTATTGCTTATTTTCATTTTATACATTCCTATGACTTGCCATTTTGTTTTCGACGAAACAGCTTTTTTACCCATTAAAATATGATATTTTGACAAAGCTGTATGTATTGAAAATTGATATATTTTAAATCAAATCGTATTTGTGGTTTTTATTCAAAATAAAATAAGAATAAGAATCCAAGTGTAATATACTAACGTTAACAGGCTGTTGAGTGATAAAAATGTAAAAGACTTCAATAAAAAATCTCTCAATAAACGAGTTTTACGCGTTTTCTTATCAAAGTGCGTTTAAATTTTATTTCAAAAAATTAAAAGGAGTTAATTGCTCCGTTAATTTTCTCATCACTCTCCACCTCCGTTATAATATCCATAAATTTTTTTTTCTATCTAAACTAATAACTTATAGCCATAGTATAAATAAACATAAAAATACAGAGTATATCTCATTAATTTATCGGGTTATCATTTCTTAAAAGTATTATATAAGTTAAAAAAACAAGTGCGTTTAAACTTTCTGTACAAGGTGTATATGCAAAGGCCATTTACCTTCGCTTAAGGCGCGTATAAATCCAATTTTTTGATGTTCAACTCTAAACTTACTAAATTTTCCAGGTAAATCATTTAAAGAATCAAAGTAACTTATATCTTTTTTAAATAACAAAGATGAATTGAGTTTTTTACGATCATTCATAATGCTGTGTGGAACTAAACCATATAGAGTAAATTAAACTAGAATGTATTTAAATATAAAACGAATAACTGCACTAAACCGTATAGATTAAATTTGATTAAAATAAAAAAAAATTCAAAAAATCATAATTCCTTTAAACTAATATGTAATTATTTAAATATGAAAAGAATAACTCCAATAAACTGTATTATTTATGAGTTAATTTAAACTAAATATAAAACAAATAATTATACCGTATAAACTAAATTAAATACAAACAAAACCGAATAATTTTACACCGTAATAATTTAAATATAATAAAAATTAAATATTAAAGATATATGAGATATAGTGATTGCACTATATCTGATAAATTTAATGAATTTTTACATAAACTAAGCATAAATCAAATAATTGTACTAAACCGTATAAATTAAATTAAATAAAAACTAGATACCAACACAGTGGGCATTTTTATAGTATTGTACTTAAGATCTGCGATTATGTTATAACGTAAAATTTTCATAAGAAAAAGGGGATATTAGATGATTTTAGAGGAGATTTTTTACATCTAATTTTTTAGATGTAAAAAATTAGATGTGAAAGATCTTCTCTAAATTTATTTTTTTCGCAAAACTACAAAATTTGAATAAAGATATAGAATTTTAGAAGACTTTTTTTTGAATAGGTTTAACGCCCATGTTTTCACACAAGCAGGGTTTACACAGGTGTCAAAAATACCACTTTTATGTTAAATGGCATGGACTTGCTAAAGCAATTTTTCACAACCAAATGCCCATAGGCAGTTTTGCAGACCAAGAATGGGTATTTTTAACATTATACTGCCATCGAGAAATGAAAAAATAAAAAAGGAGGAGTTAAAGAAGAGATTTGATCATATTTTTAACTATTTAGAGATTTTAGCGTAATATTGCGTACTAACGTACTTAATAATAAGCCCTCTCAGCATTCTCAAAACAATCTCTAAATTTGAAAGCTAAATAACATAAATGTCATTGTATTTACAAATTAAAAAAGTATAAATTATACTGCTAGGATTTAAAATTATTACTTAGCGAATTTAGATTCCACGTCATCAGAGTAATGCCTCTTTTGACATTGGTTTGATTATTATCACAATCAATATTATTAAGCCAACGACCCAAAGACCTTCGACCGCAAGTTAATATAAGCTGATTTTCTTTCTGACTAATCTTTCTTTCTCGATTCGAAAGCATACGACACGGCACAATAACACTTAAACATTCTTCGTAACATCTTAACCACGTATAAGGTATCATTTTAAAGGCATCGCAAATAAAAAATACACCAAAAGATGTTCCAACATACATTTTTTCTTCAACAACAACCAAAGATTGAATTTGAGCCTGATAATCTAAAATACAGATTAATAAAAATGTTTCGGTAAACCAAAAGAAAAAGGAAATACAAGTATTTTAAATTTATATCATTAAATTAAACTTTCTATAGTTATAGAAGAATATAAGAATTCATATGCACGAAATAAAAAAACATTTAAAACTGAAGTTTAAGTTTTTAAAAATAAATTTATTTATTATTGATTATTGCAAAGTTTATCTACCTTCAGTTATTATTTTCTTTGGCGGCTTCACAGAGTTAACTAAAATATGTAAAATAATTTCTATATAAGAACTAAAATATGACAAATTGATTAATTCATTAGCGCAGCATAGTGGATATTAGACTATAATTGTTGTTCTTTTTCTAAATGTATAATTATTATGCAATATTGTGTACTAGTTCAAAGTAAAATTAATAAAAAATATAACGTAATATATATATATATATATATATATATATATATATATATATATATATATATATATATATATATATATATATATATATATATATATATATATATATATATATATATGTATATATATATATATATATTAATGACATCTTAATAGTATGATGAAATTTATATATAAAATTGAAAATACATCATATACGGTAACATACTATTTATTTAACTATTAAAATTTTTTAATTTCAAATGTAATACTTCGGCTCATATAGTTGGAGCCATTTTCAAACTAAAATACGTTACAAAAAATTCTTTGTTAACAAAAATGATGACATTGCTGCATAATATTATAAAAGTTTTGATTTTTCT